GTGATTGAACACAAGAAAGAAAGTGACCAGGTGAGACCCGTCAAATTTTATATCAATATAATATCCCAGAAGACAAGCAGCAAATATGGACTGTTTAAACTAGTAATAAATTCCCCCTCAAGCAAGAAAATACTTTCATGAGTTTACAAACATCAAACAAATGTCTATTGCTTGAAAGAAAGCAATTTGGGAGGCAAATTCTATCATTAGTTTCGTACGCTAGGGGCTAATTGCAACTTATCTACCATGAAAAATCTATTCATCTTCAACGTCTTGAGTTATTCTGCTCAAAAATAAAAGAAGAAGTCGAAAATCTCATTATGACCTACGTAGAGTATTTAGAAAAAATGTTTATGAATTTCCTATATTGGGACTATCTTGCTGATTCTGTCTATGACTTTTTCACAAGGGATGACATAAAACAACAGATATAGCATATAATATAGCACTAAATTGAAGATAGATAGGAAAGGAGATAACTTTTTCTGGGACCTTTTACCTAACTTTCTGTCAGCCTCCACGACGTGACTAGCATGTGTAACGGAAACACAAACAACAAGACGCAGCGAAAACAACAGACGACGTCACGGAAAAAGTCATCCCCTAGGCCAGAGTAGGTAGGAGTAATATAACAAAAACCAAATAAACCCAAACATTCGCGCATGGAAAGCTACAGTTGAACTCTACCTTTTCATAGTAGTCCAATCTGTGTGACTGTAGTAATATTGAGTCTCCAAACAGAATTGTTCAGGGGCCGGGGACCGAGCTGCCATCTACGGGGACAAATGGTATCTCCCACTCGGGTGATCGTCCCCTGCCCGCCCCGAAGAAGTCTGCTTGGAGATTAATAGACATGGTGTTCCTTATATCCAGGCAGCCCATCTGGTAACTCAAAATCTCTCCTTCGTCTTTGGAAAGTTCACCGAGTACATCAATGACCACAGGGGAACGATGTTTGATGAATCAACATGGCCCACGTAACGTTATATCTATAGTCGCTATTTTGCTTTAGTAACACGGGTATCAAAAGGATCTGCCCATTTTGTAATCTAGATGATATTGAGGATGAATGCCATTTTGTAGTTGACTGCACATTATATAGAAATGAGAAGGATTCCCTCTATACTTATAAGTTCCCAAGCTTTAGGCATTTCGACAGAATAGAAAAATTCGAATTCCTCATGAAACTTGACTCAATATGTTCGTACATCTTTAACTGCGTCAAGAACCGAGAAGTTGAACCTGTAAATAGTAGATCACATTAGTATGTATACATGTAGTATGTTATTGTAAGTGTCATTGCTGTACTCTTTTCCCTGTCTATCCATGACCTGTACTTAGCTTGTTAGAGCACAGACGTACAATAAAGGTCTTTCATTCAATAATGAGTAGTCGAGTTCTTCTAAAACGTCTCCTGGAGTCTCCTGAAGAAGTCGGTTTTGAGATCGGAGGCCGGAAGGCCGCCATTGTATTTGTTTCCTACATTTCACAGGCACCAGCCACACCCATTAGGAGAATATTAGGAGCCGCTGATGTGTTGGGCGGTCAAACAGCGCGGCGGTGTGAACATGCCGGGACGTGAGGTTCTCCCGCCGGACACAGGAAATGTGACTGAGTCATGGCTGCGGCTTGTGTGCGCTCGTCTGACATCTGGTGAGGGAAACACACGTTCAGAGGGGGCATTGTCATGCTTCCCCTTCTTTATACATCTGAGCTGTACAGATAAATTTATATTTCTAATGAGCTTAGACAAACCTTCTGTATTGAAACATATCTGTTCTTACCTTTTTGCCATTACTAAGAAACGAGAAGAAACCGAATTTACTTGATTGTAGTTACTTGACGGTGTATATATGTAACGTTATCTAGTATATTCCATCCTTTTTGTGACCTGTACTTAACCCAGTGGGTATGTGTGTACAATAAAGGTCTTCATTCGTTCATTCATTCATTAAAGGCACCTAATGCAATTTCAGGGGGCAAAAGAAAAACAATTTAAGGTGATCTGTCTAATATGGACATTTACTGTCATTTCGCACCACATTTTCGTGATTATTTCATGCTTATAAAGCGTTTGAAACAACCCCAAAGTGAACTACGTCTCTTTATTTTTGGGTACCACCAATAGATAGCTGGAACTACGATGTGAAACAAACAACTCTTTTCCTTCAGCTAACTTGCCTCACAGATATCAGTATGCTATGGACTAGGATTGATTCAACTTACTACATTAAAAGATGGGGAGAAGATTGAGTTTGAAACTCTTACTGCCCTGAACTCGCTTTGGGTGCCTTTAATTATCTGCACTCTCACTCAAGATGACAATACAGGTGCTTCGAGGATTTGCTAGAGTGGCTGCACTAACAGCACGATACTAGAACGGAAACCGAATGCGACCTCGGGTCGGAGGTCAGAAGTCATTTCCGTGCAGTCAATTAACTGATTTGGTTCTGCGCCCCAAATACTGACTATGAAAAGTATTAGATGAAAAACAACTGAACTACCAATATCTTAGTATTTCGTGTTGGCTGGTTCTGCCATTTTGAGTATAAATATGATCTATGAAATTCTATTGCGTGGATCATTTTATCCATTATATCATCACGTTGCCGTTACCTTGTAACGTACCATCATTAGAATAGTCTCAATGAATATATTTTGCTTACAGTTTATGGAGTTAAGTCACAGCAGTTTGACAGTACTGTTTTCAATGATATTACGCTCCGTGAGGACATACCACATAAGGTGTATCATGCAACAGAACCTTTTCAAGGGTCCATCTCCTAGCTTTAAAGGTATCCAAGTTCAGGGCGACAAAACAAAATGAATTTTGATGAGGAAATTTGTCTGATATTGACGTTTGCTGTCATTTCTTAACACATTTTCATTATCATTTCATACTTGAAGCCATTTAGAATGGCCCCCAAACAGATTCGCTTTAATTTTGGAGTACCATCCTAGTACAACTAGGATACGAAACAAGCTGCGGCCGTTTTTTTCCGTTGGGGACATCGTATTTTTACCTCACAGACATCAGTATGTTACGGGATATGGTTGATTGAACTTTAGGCCATGTTGATTTGATTATATGGATGACATCCTCCGGGAACCCCAAAACTGATGCGCGCGTGCGAATAAAAAAAAAGTTTTGCAAAAAAAAAAGTTGTTTTCATTATGAAATGTACGTGGTCATGAAGGTTGAACAAATGGCACAGAATATGGTTTGGCGAATAATCTACTCTTCGAATTCATCTCTTTACAATTTCGTGTTTTTTCGTTTGATTTTGGCATTCTACGACATTGGTATGTTTTTTTTTTTTGTAACTTACGGTATATTTTTGCTCATTTTGCAACTGTTTTGTACGATTTACAGTATGGTTGAAAACTTTTTTTTTGGAAACGGCCGAAAATTCATGCGCGCGCGGATGTCATCCATATAATCAAATCAACATGGCCTTACTACATAAAAAATGACCAGAAATTTGACTTTGAAAATCCTGTTTTACTACCCTAATTAAATTCGCTTTGTGTGTCTTGATGAGTGCAATAAAAGTACCAGGGAAAAACTGCATTCTGCTATCCTCATGTAACTCTATCAGGGTGTTCCAGAGCGGCCTCAGAGTCACGACAACTATTTTGTCAATATTTGAGCTTCTCAGCGGAGTGTTAGAATCACTTAACCGTTTTCAGCATGTTACACATACTTGTTCTAATTACAGAACTACAGTAATTAGAGCACTGATGACATACTGGCTCTTAGGAGGCAGAGTTTGCTACAAAAGGACGTCACAGTGACACAGTAGTAGAACCATTCCCATGTTCATATATGTATGAGTGTGACTGTGTTTCTCTGACTGTGCGTAGGGTCGCCATCTTGTATTAGGCCACAGCAAACAAATTTTATGGATGACATCCTTCAAATCTAATGCGAGCGGGCAAAAAAAAAACAAGGCGGGCCGAAAAAAACAAGGTTCCTACATTTTAAAATTTTGACTCAATCATTGTACAAATGTTTTTTATTCAGTGGGAACATCACATATGCACAGCCAGCATCACTGCATCAAAGTAAGAAACAAAACATTAAATCAGAGCCTTTTCTTGTCTCCTCTCTTCATAGTTATCTGCTATCCACCTTCCGGCATGGCAACAGACATCTTTGCCCATTTTCGGCATGGTGACCACTGTCAGAAGGCAACAAAATTTCTTTTTTCCCCCCAAAATCAGGCGAAAATTAATGCGCACGCCGATGCCATCCATAAAATTTACCTGCTGTGGCCTTAATTAAATGATATTGTTGTACATCCGGCCATCTCAACAGTCACGTCATATGTGCCACACATTTTTCCGGATGAAACTAATCATGTCTCTAAATCTAAATGTTCACAGTTCTCACAACGTCACTGATTATACACAAGATCCAACTAGAACGACTGTGGCTGTTGTTCTTTTTTAGTTGCTCAGAAATGGAAAAGCGAAATCTTTGGCAAAATCACGAGTAGACTTCTTTGGTGTCACATAGATATCTTCTCACATTATATATATACATTACATTTTCATACAATGAATTTGTCATACTAGAACAATGATCCTATCCATGCAGGTCAGGGCTACGGACTACACAACAACGACGGTTTGACAGAAATAAATAGACTGATCGATGAAGATGAGCGCTGCCCATCCTTACTATATACATTATCCATATCTTACAAGCAGGGCCTTCTAGTAATTCATGGTCACAGTAACACGTAGCTTCTATCAGGCTTTGGGAAGCGAAGGAAAGAGTAGCAATTGGCCTAATAGACAGATAACATACCGGGGGAGTTGGGGAAACACTGTACTCTTTATGCTGAGGTCACATTTCCAAACCGGGGCCCGGCCGGGCTGTTTCTATTAACGAAAAATCAACAATTTATACCACGAATATACGCAAATAGTTCCTATTATTATTTTTTTCAACTTTTTTTGTGCTTTGTTGCCTTTTATATCATACCTTCCGTTCCATAAGACTGTCCGGCCGGGCATCGGTTTGGAAATGTGACCTCAGCATTAGCGGACCTACTCCCCTGGCATGTTGTCCATCTATTTGGCTACTCACTCCGGCCACTTCCCGAAGCCTGATAGAGGCTAGGTCACACATGCCCCGTTACAGCAGCGCCAAGTTTACAATTCCGCCCCAGCCCTGATGTCTGAAGCTTTTTTCTCCACAAAACTTAGTCTGTCGTCTGTAGAACCAGGCGCCTCGCTCTCTCCGTTAGTAACCACATCCGGGGACCCGGGATCGGCACGCGCATGCTCCTTACGGTCCTGCTGACCGGAGGACCAGTTGTTCGACTTTCCTTCGTCGTCATACTTGACTTGTGTGACGTCAGACTTCGGCGCCTTGTCCTTCAGCATCTCCTCCTTGGCTTTCTTGCTTCTCTTCCACTTCATCCGTCTGTTCTGGAACCAGATCTTCACCTGTGGAAATGAAGGGCAAACGTTGGCGTAAGTCGGAGGGTTGTGTTTTATTAGGCCACAGCAAGTAATTTTTATGGATGACATCAGCGCGCGCGCATTTATTTTTGCCTGATTTTGGAAAGAAAACAAAACAAATTTTGTTGCCTTCTGACAGTGGTCAACATGCCGAAAATGGGCAAAGATGTCTGTTGCCATGCCGGAAGGTGGATGGCAGATAACTATGAAGAGAGGAGACAAGAAAAGACTCTGATTTAATGTTTTGTTTCTTACTTTGATGCAGTGACGCGTGATGCTGGCTGTGCATATGTGATGTTCTCATTGAATCAAAACCATTTGTACAATGATTGAGTCAAAATTTTAAAATGCAGGAGCCTTGTTTTTTTCGGCCCGTCTTGTTTTTTTCGCCCGCTCGCATTAGATTTGGAGTCTGCGGAGGATGTCATCCATAAAATTTACTTGCTATGGCCTTATGAGCCGATGTTTGACGGGTAATTTAAAAAAGTCAGGTTACATGGTAACAATTGAGTGGCTAGTGGGGAGACTGCCAACTTGACCCTAGGGTCAATCTGAGGCAACCAAATCTCCCATCCTTTCTGTCAATCTACTGCATTCAAATACCTAAAGTACCAACCCACAAGCATGCAAATACACAAGAGAAGGGAGGGACAGAGATAAAAGAGAGAAAAAAGAGAGAAGAGAGAGAGAGAAAAGAGAGAAGAGAGGGATAGAGAAAAAAGAAAAAAGACAGAGAAGAGAGAGAGAAGAGAGGCACAGAGAAAAGAGAGAGAGAAATAGAGAGAAGGGAGAGAAGAGAGGTAATAAAATGAGACCAGGCATATGTATTGTAACGATAACCAGATGTGGTTCATACCAATTAATATTTAAACCCTCAAAAGCAGACAACCCCCCCTCAGCTGGATCAGGGTTAATCTAAACTCCAGACCTGTGTTTCTGTCAGCATGAGTGACGTGGCGACCTCGAATCGCTTGGGCCGTGACAGGTACTTGTTCTCCTTGAAGTGTTTCTCCAGCTCCAGTAGCTGCTGACTGGTGAAGGCTGTGCGGGGCCGGCGGGTCTTACACAGAGGGTTCGCCTGGGCGCTGTGCATGCCTGCAAAACACGAAGTTATGGTAAAGGCCACAGCAAGTAGATTTTATGAATGACATCCCCCACAGACTCCAAATCTAATGCGAGCGGGCGAAAAAAAACAAGGCGGGCCGAAAAATCAAAGTTCCTAAATTTTAAAATTTTGACTCAATCATTGTACAAATGGTTTTTACTCAGTCGGAACATCACATATACATGTACACAGCCAACATCACATATCACTGCATCAAAGTAAGAAACAAAACATTAATTCAGAGCCTTTTCTTGTCTCCTCTCTTCATACTTATCTGCCATCCACCTTCCGGCATGTTGACCACTGTCAGAAGGCAACAATTAAAATTTTTTTTTTTTAAATTAGGCGAAAATTAATGCGCGCGTTGATGTAATCCATAAAGATTACTTGCTGTAGCCTAAATGCATTCAATGCAATTTCAGGGTGGCAGAACAAACAGAAAGTATTCTGGGTCAGAAAATCTGATATTGACATTTACTACCATTTTAGTACATTGTGGTCATCATTTCATACTTGAAGCGTTTGAAATATCCCCAAAACAAGCAAGGTGAAGTCGCTTTATCTTCCTTCACCGCCCATAGCTGTAACCTAGGACCAACCTACGATACCAACCAAGTAACCGTTTTCCGTTAGCGACATTGCAATTTTGCCTCACAGATATCAGTATGCTATGGGATAGGATTGATTTAACTTACTACATTTAAAAGAATAGAATGACAAAAAAACTTGACATTTCAACTACATTTAAAAGAATGACAAAAAAATTAACATTGAAAATCCGGCATTGCTGTCCTAATGCCTTGAGATACACAGTAGCACCACTGCCACTGTGAACCACAGTACTTGATTACTGGCGTATGCTATATCTGATTCTGACTGTGACTTCCCCCTATTCACCTGTGTTACACTATAGTCTCTGGAGTTTATTTCAGTCACGACACATGCTGAGACGTAAACATAACTCACTTTCAGATCAATTTCACAAAAAAGACAATACATATATTACATGTACATTTAGCAATCTGCTGTAGGGGCAGATACCACGAAAAAAGGCAACACATGCATTTAGCAATCTGCCGTAGTGGCAGCTATCACCAAAAGACAATGTATGTAGCAATCTGCCGATACCACCAAGAACAATACATGCATTTAGTAATCTGCCTTAGGGGCAGATATCACAAAAATACATGCATTTAGCAATCTGCCGTAGTCACCAAAAGACAATATATGTAGCAATCTGCCGACACCACCAAAACAATACATGCATTTAGTAACCTGTCGTAGGGCCAGATATCACAAAAATACATAGAACTTTATTGACACAACAAAAGCACAGCGACTTTCGTAAGGTCTAAGACATGTAGACATACAGACAAATACATGGGTACAACGAAATTAACCTACGTACAAAACAATAGATGAGTCAACTAATACTACTTGTTCTAAGGTCAAAACATTCTTTGATATATTTACCTATTTGTACACAGTAAGGGTAATTACCTTCTAGGATGAAATTAAATTTATCTATAGCATGAAATGTAACAGATTCTGTTGAGCAAGCGGAGAGAAGGTTGAACAGTTTTGTGTGTTGCATGCATTCAGCAATAAAAGAAAGGCCGGCTAAAACCTGACGAGTGCAGAAATAACACACGGGTAAGATAAAGCAATGGACTTTCATTGGCTTAATCGAAAGCAATCAGTCACTAAGGTTGCTCCATCGCCCTTTTGTTGGTTCCATAGAATAAATGGGATTTCTCAATTAAGGCATCCTTATGGCCATCAAAGCGACCTCAAAGTTTCATCAGTAGATTGGCTGGAGGGAGACCAGGGCATCTGACACACGCGATTGCCATTTAAATCAGCCGCTCCGGCAATCTATTCTGCCTTACAGAGTGGTTTATTGGCAATGTGCAGCCCAATTAAGAGTGTTTCCTTGACCAGGCTTTAATTAAACTGTTGCTATTTGAAAGATTGGCGTCGCGGGAGTGTGCAGATGTGCACAGTTCCAGTCGTACTGGCATAAAGGCTTTACTGTATTAATGAAAGGTTTATTGTAAATTCTTGCCCGGAGGCTAATTGCAAATTACAAAACATAAAAGAACAATGAAATAGAGTATAAAATAACTAAAGTCTACATGATAAAGGTAGCTGTCTAGAACTATATGTCTAAAACTATGTCTGAAGGGTTTGACTTCTCTTCTGTAAACCATGGAAGACGTAATGTCCCACCTTTTCCAAAATTTGTGGGTTTTTGGGAAGTTAAAAGAAGAATATAAACCTAAGTATGCAAAAGCTACCGTGAATAATGTTATCAAGTTGGTGCATGTTATAATAGCAAAGTTATTTATTCATAATTTAACAAGAAACGATATTTGGATGCCCGCTTGAGACCATCTCCTCGGTAGAATTAATCGCGTTCTCAGTGACTCAAAAGGGATAATTAATCAATAGGCACTCCACTACGTAATTGCAAGCCGCGTGGCCAATTAGTTTAGACAAAGCACCACAATGTGCCATCATTAGGTTTTGATTCCCAGTCGTGGGGAGGGGCGCGGCTGGTGGATGTCCCAATGCCCGCAGCGGAGGCTAACTAGCCTCTACCAGGCTTCGGTAGCGACTGGAATTCCAGAAAGATCAGAAATTTACTCTCTTATTTACTCATAGATAAAAAAACAAACGATCTTCCACCATCAACCTCTGCTTGGAGAGTACAGAAATTTGCCAAATAGTCTGGGGGAGTTGGTCCGCTAGAGAGTGCAGTTTGCCGCTCCCCTGGCATGTAATCCTACTCAGATATCAGTGTACGTTGGAAAATTCCTATCTGAATCACTACAAAAGCGACACCAGATTGTAAATAGCTGATATATTCCTTGAATTACAGAATGTAATAATACTCTTCCTAAGAAAACACAATAGATTAGCTTTAGTATCATTATGGGCTAGCTCGTTAGAATTATATTTTAGTATTAGTTTGTGTATGTACCCTTGTTGTTTCTTTTCCATACATTGTACCAGCTACAGTTGTTGAGCAATAAAGTTATTTTATTTGTAATCTGTCAATTCTGCCAATTTACACGCTTCCCAAACGCTTCCCGACACCTGGTAGAGGCTATGTGAGTGTGTCACAAAATAAAAGTGCCGAATTTCCCATAACAACACAGTGTTATAGTCATTGCGGGACTACCACAAATTGATGATTACTGCTGGTTTCGAAAGCCAAATGGTTAAGTCAATGACATCAATTTGTAAAATGGAATGTTCAAATCACGTTCATATGCAGAAATATTCAGATTCCAAGTTCATTAAAAAGTACGCGTCGTGAAATCCACATTAACTCAAATCTAACTCAAATTAAAACGTTAGGAATGATCTGACGTCCACTGGCTAACAGTTTAAACATCTGAACGCTACATATTACTAGTATATATACTATGCAGTAAAAACAAAAATGGCGTCGTCAGGACATTCTATAGTGTGTTTTGAGCACGTGATTTTGTATACCTCGGTAATTACAGGATTTTCAAAGGCAGGTTGGTCATTCTTTTAATGTAGTATATTTACAGTGGAATCAACCTTACTCCAGAGCATACTCAAATCTGATCTGTGAGGTAAAAATGCGATGTCGCTGACGGAAAACGGTTGCTGATTTTGTATCGTAGCCTGCATGGTTCTAGCTATTTTTGCCTATCCACACACAAAAAAATATGAATAAATTGACGCCTCCGGTAACTTGCTTTTGTGATATTTCAAACGCTTGAAGTATGAGGTGATGATGAAGTGTGCTTAGAATTGGCAATACATGTCAATGTCATCCAGAATAGTTTCAGTTTGGCCGCCCTGAAATTACAGTTGATTAATTTTTTTTTGTTTTCTGATTGACTGTTGTTGTACTGCCGCGGTGTACGCGGCTGAAGCCTGCGCTATGCCTAGCCTCCGTAGCAGTCTTATAGAACGGGGGGTTTGGTGGTCTTCGGCTGTTTTCTGATTAGCCCAGTTCAAAAAACTGCGGTAATTCAACCAGGCCGGCTATGTTGTCTACATGCAATAAAAAACAGGACATAAAAGCTTCCAAAGACCCTGAAGACCCCCAAAACCCCCAGTTTTTGCCATACTATGGAGGCTAAGCTGTGTCGTGCTTTCTCTGTGAGTGTGTGTGTGGGAGAGAGCGGACATGACATGCCACATGTGGGGCACAAGCCGGCCTGTGTGCTACACGAACAAACACGCCAGCCGGGGTAGTTATTTCTCAGCAAACTGGTAACGGTCACAAATAGAGAAAATAGAGTCCAGGCCCTCCGTATAGCAACACGCAAACCAATTTCCATACCAGCAACATTTTGCCAATGACTTTGTGATGAAAGAACGCAGACTGGCAACTGGGTTTTGCCGCACATCTTAATGCTTAGGTCACATTTCCAAACCGGGGCCCGGCCGGGCTGTTTGTATGTACGGAAAATTAACTATTCATATAAAAAAATACAGAAATAGTGCCCATGATTATTATTAAAACGTTTCTGTGTTTTGTTGTCTTTTATATCGTACTTTTCGTCCCCAAAAGCTGTCCGGCCGGGCCCCGTTTTTTAGTACGAATGTTACCGGTGTTCAGTACTGGATTAAACGTACAACATTTCAATGGAACAAAAATCTTACATATACAGTGGTAGAAATACTTTTTTCAGTGTTCCGCAATGCTGTAGAATGTCACATTCTTTTCTGTAATTCGGAAACACTTTCTTCAAATACACACACATGTAAGTCCGGACCTAAATCCATGACATACACAAAATTGCATGTTGGCAAACATTTCATGCGCAGTTCGAAAAAATACATGCAAAATTACTAATACTACGTATACTATACTACTAATATACAACTAATATATTTCCAAAAGGAGAGTCGGTTGCCCAACTACAACCCTCAAGAACCTCTTTGAAACGGAAATTAATTTACAAGGATCTGAACTATTGTTGGTAACGTCTGATAAACAGCACTGGAACAGGAACTTCACTTGCTCCACCTCTTGAAGTGGACGCTTAAGACCTATGATGCATATTATAGAGTCAGTCATCAACACAAAAGCTCTTAAACAATATTCTGCTGACTACCCCTAGCCTGATGTTTCAGTCGGCAAAATTGCAGGCTGTTCAATTTTACTTCTGCAATATTGAAAAGTATCTGCAAAATGTAAACTGCATGCAGGTGTGTATTTCTAACACTGATACATTTGTGTAAAAATGTGAAATGTGTATTTCGTTACTTGCTGGTACAAAAAAAGCCACTCCTGTTGCTATTACAAAAATGAGAATATTGTTCTTACAACATTGAAATCGCTCGTTTGAATTCTCGAAAAGAAAATAGAAGAGACACAGCTACATCTACATTTGTATTACTTTACTAAGAATAATCAGGTGCTATATCTATAGCTATAATAATTTTAAGAATTCGATTACAAATTGTATATATAAAGGATTCGCAGCCATGTCACCTGGTCAATATGGCAGGCTACAATTAGGTAAGTCAACTATTATAACGTAGAAAATAATCAATCTCCAAGCAGATCTTTTGGTGGCTGCAAAAATAATACGGCAAGACAGTATCACATTGGCCAGGCAGTATCCAATACAAGGCCGGATATAAACGCCTAAAAACACTTCAATATAATCCGAAGCCTAAACCTTTGTTTGGAGAGTAGAAAATGATATAATTATTATTTACATACATACATGTACATGTCGTCTTTCCAATACCAAATCTCGCATGCCATATATTTATCAAAGACTTGTGCTATCCCTTATTATTTGAATAATTATGATATAGATTTGTTAGGTTTTATTCGACATTTCGTCTTATTCAACACACTTATTTTATTGTTTGTTACTCTCTTTATGTAGTTTGCCATACATTGTACCATGTGCAATTGTCGTGCAATAAAGTTCTTCTGTATCACACATGTATGTGTCAGTTGGGTACCGTCTGTACGGCTATGCTTTGTCAGTGTGTTTATGGCATAAAACATGGAAGAACTTGTAGTAGATACAGACATTGACATGAGTCCTAACCACGGTTCAAATCCATGTTTTAGGACTAAATATAACACGATGTTTCAGTACATTTTCAAGGCAAGAATATTAGAACCCACACATACAATCAGTATCACACTTTACCTCTACATATCTAAAATTTAGCTGCACCAGTCGATAATTAACGAAATCTGGATGTTCTAACACGTGTGTTACAGTTAGAGTAGCGCTTGTTCACGACGACTCCTAGATTTAGTGAGACTTAACGAATTTCTCGCCAAAACCTACTGATAGTTATAAATGTAGTCTGACTCAGAAACACCGACACTAGAACTACTATGCACCTACATTTGTGTACCGCTTAAATCAACCCAACTTCAGAAAACTTATATAGTTTCTGTGGACCATAATGACGTGCAATGCTGTACATGTAGACACGGGTGTATGGTCATACGTGCCGGGTTCACTCATTACAAAGCCGTGTATTTACATGGCTGTGTTTACATGAACTAGCGAGTCAGTCCTACTCCACACTGACAGGACGGACTGCCCAGATGTGGGGAGTATAACCTAGGTGTAACAGAATGGAAGCTGTCCGCAGATTCGATAGAAAATTCCTTCTTAAAGTACTCTCCAAGCAGAGGTTGATGGTGGAAGATCGTTTGCATTTTCTATACGGCCGTTTTTTTGTCGCTACCACCACTTGGGTGGGGAAATGGTTACAGGCTGGCCAATTTGATACTGTCTTACCCCCACCAAAAGATCTCGTCTGATTTCAGGGCTTGGAAACCAGATTTTTCAAGCTCAATATTCTCTTCACTTATCTACATACTAAGTTGAAACAACAAGCAAAAAAATGCCGAAATTTGTGACGGAAAACGGTTACCGGTAGGATCCTGGGCTGTTTTTTGGGGTACCACCCAGAAAATAAAGGACTCATCTTGGGGCTTGTTTCTACGCCCAGAGTATGAAACACTAATGCTAATGTGCGAATGTGGGGCTGTATGTGTCAATATCATTCAGATTGCCTTACTCAGAATATCCTAGTTTCGCCGCTCTGAATTCACTTTAGACAAACAAACGGAAACTAACACAAGAATCTACAAAAAAAATGAATTATGACAATCACCAGAAATATCTAATTATTAAGGCGTGTTTCCTTCCTATCTGTGAGCTGACTATCATTGTAGCACCGTAAAAAATACACAAACCGTGTTAGTGACTGAGTACAGCCTGTGTGTACAATGTACATGTAGTTTGTAGTTTATAAACAACAGCATGGACAAATGTTTCATACGATCGCGAAGAAGCTTCAAAGATCCGTTGTGTCGTCTTGTATTACAAAAAATATATTTCGTTAACAGGTTTAAGTTAGGAAAGGCTTGCAGAGTGGTATATAATTGCATGAAAAGAAGAATGTAAGGGAAACTATTGACTGTATCTTACCGCCAGGGTAGTCCATCCTGGGCATGAGCATCCCCCCGGCCCGGATCCAGTCTAGAGGCACGCCGGCGGCCTTGAGGTGTTCGGGCGGGGTTGTCTGTAGGGCCGAGAAGGACAGCGGGTGGTGCCCGTTCATGACGTTGGGGTAGGAGTACAGGGGATGGCCGTACACTTGTAGAGTAGGCTGTGACATGGCGAGTCCCGGCGGCGGCTGGATGTTGAGGAGCCCGGGTTTGGGAGTGATGCTGCTGGTGGTCAGGCCGGTACCGGGCTGTGTGCTGGGGGGAGCCGGGGAGGTCGGCGGGGTGCCCGGGCTCTTCGGACTCACCGGCTCGGGAGACAGCGGGCTAGCGGGCCGGGGGCTGGGGTTGGGGCTGGGGGAACGTGGCCGCTTGGTCGGGCCCTTCGCTAGAAGGTCGTCAATCCGAAAAGACTTGGCACTATCCATGGCGCGACTGGAAACTTGTAACGCACTTCTAACCTCGGGCGGCGGGAACACATGCAGGGCTTCTCCGCAAACCTCGCCTTTAATTTGATTCCTCAACCTCGCCTTACCATTGGCTGCCGACTCACATACATTTGCCTGTCCTATTCAAATAAGCTCTGAATAATAGCGGCTAATTAGAACGGTTTGATTAGCTGTCGTCGCTAACAGTTTGTTTGAGTGACAGTTATGATACGATACGACCAGAAATGATATCATCAGGAGTGACCAACAGACACTTCAGCAGAAGCCGAAATAACCCCAGTATGGACCAATGGTCACTTCTACGATATAGAGTACAACTTATCAATGAATTCGTTTGATAGACATTTAAAGCAGATATACTTCCCTGATCGACAGAGACTAAAGTTTCGAGAGCTCGTAAAAAAGAAAGAAACCATATATGATAGAAGCCATTTATATACAAAACGAAATTAATTGTTTAGAATGTCACTGGCGGGTGTAAACGTACGAGGAAGGGGGCGTTAAAACAGACCACATCCCGTGCGCGCTAGCCTGGTGTATCGGGGATTGGGCGCACTATCCTCGGGTCTGAAATAGCCCTCCGCCGCCCGCCTAGCCTCAGCACTCCGTAGGAGTTTTATACGACTGGAGTTAAAATGGCAACACAACTTGATTTTTAAAGCCAATTCGTTTAACGTATAGTAAGTTGAATCAACCCTATCCCATAGCATACTGATATCTGTGAGGCAAAAATGTGATGTCATTGCTTGTTTTATATCGTAGGCCGGTTCTTGCTATTTTTGAGCGGTACGAAAAAATAAAGAGACGTCTCACGTAGCTTGTTTTGGGGATATTTAAAAAAATGTGCTAAAAAACTGTCAATATAAGACAGATTTTCTCATCCACAATATTTTGTTCTGCTCACCTGAATTTGCAACAATTTCGATGCCCACCCCCCCACCCCTACATCTGTACCAGGCTACATGTATCTGATTTCTGATCTGAAAAAAGGATGGCAACATAAACTGTTCAGTTTTTTCGAAGCGAGAAAAAGGATAGTCTCTACCAGACTAACTACGCTGGCTATATATAGGAGAATAATTGCCAGGGGAGTTTGGCCGCCTTGTAGGTTTGCAGTTAGGAAAGAAACTACCTCCCCGCGGCCGGACTCCCTTGGCCAATTTTACTCTCTTTTTTTACCGAATTCTACGATCCGTATTCCCGTAGAAAGGCCTGGTGGAGGCTAGACAACTAAGACAACTAATTAATCACCTAATTATACGGGTCATTAGGTCCCCACTGTGAGGAGGTGAGGTCTGTTAATGGTTTCACGCCTGGACAATACAGACGTGCGGAAGGGGCGGGGTCCGGTACATCATGTACACACCCTGTCCTGTTACTGTTAGGGCCTCAGGTTTCTATTGTGTCGGAGGTAATGACTTCTGTAAAGATCGTTTGTGGGGTCGTGTGGCGTAACGGCAGGGTGTTCGGTACTCTCCAAGCAGAGGTTTGGGTTTGGGGGTATTTTAGTGTTTTTAGGCTTTTTTTCTTTCACCCCTGGGTTGGGCGAAATAAAAATTCCAGTGCAAAAAAGAAACCCCGATAAAAAAGCCCAAAAACACGCTAAAATACCCCCAAACCCAAACCTCTGCTTGGATAGTAGGTGTTCGGCCCAGAACCCAGAGGTCCTCGGTTCGAATCCTGTCATGTCACCGATGTAGTCTCTACCAGACTAACTACGCTGGCTATATATAGGAGAATATTTGCCGGGGGAGTTTGGCCGCCTTGGGGTTTGACTATGCCAATTTGATTCTCTTTTTTGCCGAATTCTACGATCCGTATTCCCGTAGAAAGGCCTGGTGGAGGCTAGATCTTATGTTCTTGTGAAAGGCACTATACACGGCTTTCCTCACTCCACCAAGGTGCAAACTGGTACCTGCTTTTGGTTGGGGAGGTAAAAGGCGGTAAAAGGAGAGGTATCTTTGATATTGTGTCCATGGCCAACTATATCCACCACTCTGGAAGATTTGACCAATCTCATTAATGTTATGTTATAGGTATTGGTCCGCCAGCCATTTTCATTTTATGTATATGTTATACTTTATGTCATCTCTATGTTTACTTTTGTATTATGTTTTATGAGCAGCGGATCTACATAAGCACAACAAGTGCTTCCTATCCAATGCTCAAAAACCCATGTGAATAAAATAAATAAATAAAAGGAGAGGGATGGACTCCGCCTTCTAACACCGTGCCCTAGACACAGTGGACTAACAACCCACTGCCCCTACGGCCTGAAGAAGACTATGGGAGTACCTTTAGCTCTACCTTTTTCTCAGATGGCTTAAAATATCGTAGAGTTGGCTGACTAGTTCTGGCAATAGTGGCGCAAACTACCCAATTTTACACCTTTTACCCATTTTAACACCTGGGTGGAAAGAGGAAAGTCGTATTAAGTGCCTTCCCGCTTCCCCAAGGACACAACGTCTTGTCTGGATGCTGGGATTCGAACCCGCGATCTCTCGGTCTCGTATCTGGTAGCCTACCTACTCGGTTATTCTGCACCACTACTACTGGGGACAATATAGGCCCTTTTTTTTTCCGTGGCGAAAGCATGTCATTTTTTTCCTAGGCGAAAGCGGGTAATTCTGACTTGTCTGCCACAATATTTCTGCCCCCCTCCCTCCAAACAAATTTAGCAACTACAAGTTAGAAGACTCATGCCACATGTGGCTGGTAAAATTAGGTCTAACATTTTGCTGGATGTTTGAATGAAGGACACAACAACACAAATCCTCAGCACAGGATCTCGGAACTGTTTGGAGGATCTGTTTGAAGACTCTTACCCGCCCTATGAATTTTGGATATTGAAGTGACGTACAGTAAACTCAGCATAGGAGGTTAAAGGCATCCAATGCAGTTTTTAGGGCTTAGAAACACGATTTTTCGGTCAATATTCTAGTCACTTATCTACATACTGAGTTAAAACCACACTATCCCGAGGTATATTGACCCTCAAGTCATGGTGCAAAAATTCCCAAAATTCTGAAGGAAAATGGTTACCGGAAGGGCCCTGGGCTGATTTTTAGGGTACCACCCCTAAAATAAAGGACTCATCTTGGGGCTTGTTTCTGCAGTTTTAGATACCCAAAGTATGAAATGCTGATTGAAGTGTGCTAATGTGAAGCAGTATGTGTCAATATCACAAAGATGGCCTTATTCAGAATATACACATTGAATATTCCTGTAGTATAGGAGCATTCTTTGGCGCATTTTTCTCACTAACGTTTTGGAGACTCCAGATGATGTCATCCATAAGATTAAGACAGTGTGGCCTAAAACTAATAAAAAAGGTAAATGTAGTTCCATAGCCTTGTCGAGACCGTAGGGACAATGGGTTGTTGATCCACTGTGTCTAGGACACGGTATTAGAAGTCGGAGTCAAACCCTCTCCTAATTGTACCGCCTTGTACGCTTCAAACAAATATACAAACATGACTGCCTGCAAATTGTACATTGATACTATGCAAATTTCATCCTTTTACTTATTATTTATCTGATTTCTGTATGATTGATTTGATATTTTTTTATATATGCCTATTTTGGACCGCTTATTCTTCTTTTTTAAGTTCGTGCTTAAGTTACCTTATTTTGATTTGCCCCTTGATTGTATATAAGTTTTCTTCAACGATTACTTTATGTTGTATTATATTGTTATCATTCTATTGTGTTTGGGGTTTTGCCCCCCAGGGTGCACTGAAAACCGCCCTCCAGGGCGATATGTTTCTCTGGTTAAATAAACAAATAAACAAAACCTCCCCAACCGAAGTCATGTACCCACTCTTACACCTGGGTGGAGTGAGGAAAGTCGTATAAAGTGCATTCCGCGAGGACACAACGTCGACGTCTAGCCGTGAGTGGCGTGAATAGAGCCCTCTTGATCTCGTGTCCGCTAGCCTAGCCAGTCGGCCATTGGACAGAACAAGTCACGGCAAATCCTGTCAAAACAAACAAACAAACAAACAAACAAACAAGCAAACGAACGAACTACCGAACAATCAAATAAAAATGAAAGAAGGGTCATTTGAAAACACAGACATAACATTAAACAAAAAAAATGTCACATTTTACCCCCATTAAATCTCCATTGGCAAAATGTGTAGTTAAATCTATTTCGAAATTTAATGTCAGATCACACATAACGTTAACGTTATTTATTCCTTTACACAACCTGGTCACCTCATTATTTTTTATACAATGCTTTTATGTCTCCAGAATAAATATTAATGTTATAGACAGTTATGCTATCCATGTTAAACTCCGCCTAATGTCTTGTCTTGTCAGTGGAACAGCCAAACCAATAAATAAATAAATAAAAAGCTGATCATCACTGATTACCTTTTCAAAGGACTGTCTAGGCTAGAGTACTGTTACAGTAATAAAAGCTTCATGTGCTAAAAACGCGTGAATAGCTTTGTCCCTAGGGGCCACCGTACCGGGCCCAATTTCAATTGTGTGGCGCTCTAAGTAATATCTCTGTAATTCCGGCGGGCTGGAATAGTGATGCGCAAAGCGGCTTAATCAATCCGCAAAAGTCGATGGTCCTTAATCGAATTATATCAAGTGGTAATTTGTAATGACACTGTGGGGGAATCAAAACGAATTACCTTAATTTGATCCACACACCCTTCAATTACCGTTATTGTTGGAACTATTCCCCCATTCTAATCCTGGCGATTGGCTGCCGCAGGCCACAGGAGAAATGGCCCATGAATTGATTGTACATAATGTCAACTTCCGCTTTTCGTCTTTGTCAAATCAGGGGCGAAATAAAGATAGATAAAAAGCTAACAAAAAAAATAGATCGACTAGCTTCAAAAATTGACAGAATTAGCATCACGATGTAAAACGACAAACAAAAAGAAGAGGATACGAGGTTTTATTGTGAGAATTGTAGGACCAGACTGAAGGTTGGCTGATATCTACGGAGCCCACTT